TTGAACACCATAGATTACCAACGAGAGTTTGGATTAATAACAGATGCAAGCGAATGTGCGGTAGGTTGTTGTTTAATTCAATGGGGCAACGACAAGAAAGAAAAACCTATTGCGTTTGCTAGTCGCAAACTGACCGATGTTCAAAAACGATGGTCCACGATCGAAAAGGAAGCATACGCGATAGTTTGGGCTCTTCAGAAATTCCGCTCGTGGATTTGCCTATCCAAAATCAAAATTTTTACAGACCATAATCCATTAACATACCTGACGGAATCGACACCAAAAAGTTCAAAGCTTACACGTTGGATATTGGCCCTTCAAGAGTATAATATACAATTCTGTTATCGTCCGGGTTCACGTAACGTTGCCGATTTTCTCTCCAGGATATAAAAGTCAAGAAATATTATTGTTTTTTTTTTTGTAAGTGTGATGAATGTTACATTCATCCTCCTAGGCGTTGGAGGTATGTAATGGAAATTGTTCTATTACATGATCACGTGGAATAAGTACTAGCACAAAGCACGTGTGCTTACCTAGGAGAGAGCGCCGTATGGTCTCGTGGGTCGATTACTAGACCAAAGTACAAGCGCTTACCTAGGAGAGAGCACCGTGCATGCCTATAAATAGCCTACGCAAATAAGTTAGCTCTCTTTCCTTTATGTGGCTCTTGGGTCGGAGTTGACGTTAGTAAAATTGAGTATTGTATTGTTGCATTTTCATTAATTTTGTTTATTCGAATAATTATTTAGTTAGGTTTTAATAAAGGAGGATTAATAATATATCTGTCGTTGTGTTTAGTTAATATCGAACCCGTTACAGTTGACCTAGAAGCAATTACGTCATCGTGCTGTATTTTTATGCCGTAAACAATTATAATGCATCAATTATAATAGATGCGTGACGTCATTGCTTTCATAAGAGCTTACATGCAATGGAAAGATATGACAGGGCAATTCCAGTTTAAAACTCCTCTGCCAATTGTATTCCAACTTGGTAATTGTAACTGATGAAAGTCAGATGTAAAATCAAACAAATGTTTAATCAGTTTGTTAGTCAATCAATCAATCGATGAAATCTATTTTCAAACACTGTTTTTTTTTAAGATAAACAATGGCTCGATACAATCACTGTCTTAAAAACAGTTCGTGTGTTTGTAGCTATTTATTTTCTTTATTATTAATTTATTTTTCAAGTAATATTTGTTTCATATAACCATTCATTTGGTCACTTCACTTTGTCCTTATATATTCGGCTATCCCTTTATATATTTATCCCTATATCCATCTAACCAGTCGCCACTTACCACTTCATTTAGTCATTCAACTATCTATTCAACTACCGTTTTTTTTATTCATTCATTCATTCATGTTGTTGATGTTGTTGTTGTTGTTGCTGCTGCTGTTGTTATTGCTGCTGCTGCTGCTGCTGCTGTTGTTGTTGTTGCTGTTGTTGTTGTTGCTGTTGTTGTTGATACGTCTGAGATTTTATTGAAAAAATTAATGAAATAATAAAAACAATAACAACAATAAGTAAAATAAATAAGCAAATAAATGAACAAAAATTGCTGCTATAGATTACTAAACAGATGAATGTGTATAATAGATAGAGAGACGAGCGAAAACATTGTCGCCCTGATATCTTATATCGTGAATTTTGTAGGGTTGTGCAAAGTTGCTCAAGCAAATAGCTAAAAAGGTGCATCCTTTCTACTGTTGAAAAATGAAAAGAGCAGCAGTCTTTGCAGATTCCAGACATTCCAAAAATGAATGTGGATGACTTTTGTGGACAGCAGCTTACCACGCAAAAACATCGGATAAAGAAAATAATACATTTATTCAAAATTTATTTATTCAAAATTTATTTATTCAAAATTTATTTATTCAAAATTCATTTATTCAAAATTCATTTATTCAAAATTTCTGAGACCACTAAATAACATTAACCTGAAGCTTCCATGTGATGTTTTCTGTATAAAAGTAACTATCCACAGACCTAAACAAACCTAACAGCAATATATATACACAGTAACAATAAGATAACAACAACGCAACAACAACATCACATCAACAACATCACAACAACAACATCAACAACGGAACATCATCACAACAACAATAACAACATTCGTCGTTTGCTCAAGAACTCAAATGTGCCATGTTAAAGATGCAACCGTGTAATCTTGCTTCTCATTGGCTCCTACCAACCAATTAGAACAGAGCGGACTGTCAAGATGAATCCTGATTGGACATGTCCGACAATCAGTTGCACGCGGTTTTTGATATAAAGTTGTTGGAAAGCGATCTCGTGATTTATATCATTATGATTACAATATTACGAAAACATTTTTTCTGAATTTAGCAAGAAATTAAATTTATTTATTAATTTATTAAAAAAAGTACTTGCTAGATTGCCTGATTAAAAAGAGCATTTAACTTGTTGGTCACAGTTCAGTTTTGAATTTCAGAAATCATCTTCTGTGATTAGGTTGACATGTCCCTGCGCTATTAAAATTTTTATTGGAATAAATTATATTATCTAATGTAACTAAATAGGATAATAATAACCGAAAAAAATGGTCTGCAACTTTTTGTCAAATTCAACATGAAAAATAATTTCATAATGTATAATGTTTCAATAAAACATTATACCATTTTCAATAGAATTAAATTTTTTTAATTGAATTACTATTTATGAGTAGAATAAATAGACCTAAGATGTAAATTATATTATAAAAATTGTTGTTGTCATGAAGTTTGATTTCAGCCACCTCGCTCAATCCATCCTCAACGAACAGGAATATAACCAGCAGCAGCAGCAACAACAACAGCAACAACTGGAACATCAGAAACACAACCATCTTTTGAGATTTCACGACAACCAACAAAGAAAACAGAATTGTTTTCATGGCTACCATCATAAACATCCTTTTCCTCAACATTTTTTTAAACATGACTTGTCTGCATTCTACCATCAAACCAACGCTCGCCATCCATTACAAGAGCAAGTTTATGAACCATATTCACAACAACATCATCAACAACGTCAACTACGTCCTCAACAACAACATCAACAACAATCACATCAACATCAGCAACATCTGAATGAAGAGCAGACGACGCATTCCAACAATTCACTTGTTAACGAGCTCACTGGTATGCACAACAGCGAAAGCTACAACAAATATATTTCAAACTGTAACAAAATAATAAGCACTAGCAACAAAAATCTTGATAGCAAAACCATCATCAACAACTTTATCAACAACCACAACAGATACAACAACAACAACAACATCATTAATAACAACAGCAACAACAACAACAACGTCGTCATCAACAACAACAATCACAACAGATACAACAGCAGCAAGGTTGGTGTTTTTCTCAACGGAAAACTTGACGTTAACAACACTTGCATGCTGGGAACTCTCAACGATTTCAAATACTGTAACGCTATTTACAGTTGCGGTCAAAATTGTTGTAATTATTATTACAATGATCAGTTTCTATACAGCAACTCGAACAACGACCATGGAACATTTTCAAAGTTGCAACTTTTTGCCACTAGCCATTTCAAATCCAATTTGGACCGCTTTTTGGGCTGCAAATTGACATCGATATCAACGTTGGCGGCCACAAAAGGCAGCACAAAACACATCAGCAGCACCACAACTGCCACAACAAACGCAACTTCTGCACTGGTGAAAAGATTTTCAAAGAAATCCAAGTCGGTGGTGATTTAAAATTTTTATTAACTAACTTTTGATGTTGAAGTTTATTTTTTTGACAAAAAATTTGTGAAACTGGTTATCTGTAATTAAAACACATAAAACAATTTTAATTTTCCAAATTTACAATGGGAGGAAAAAAGAAGGTTTACATTTCTTAAGGTTTAAGGTGCTGATTTGATACATGAAGAAGTTGTGCGCTGGTCACCTGGTTCGAAAGCTTGTTATACTCTGATTACCTCAGGAATATTTCAACATGTTGAGTTTTTTAAATTTTAGTTAGTTAAATGCCAAACGTTCGAATATAGGTACTTTTTAGATAAATTGAAAAATATCATTATAAAAGTCTGTATCGTTTCGCAAAACTGTTATTGGCCCTGCCCCTCAAAGTTTAATGACATACATTCTTACAGACATCAACTTTTGTAGATGTCGCTAGACCTCAAACAAACAATCAAACAAACAAACAATCAAATAAACAAACCAACAAACAAACAAACATACAAATAAATAAACAGAATAACATAAACACGTACGTACGTTTAAAAAAGTGTTTAGAAACCATAGCGTGTTATACGAGCTAGTGACAATACGAAAAGTTCAAACGTTCATCCACTCCATCATTCGCATATTTCTTCTGTTGACCAACCACACACCAATCAGTTTACAAACATTGTGAGTTATTTTATGTCGAACAAAATTGTTCCACGTCAGTCAAAGTTGTTTGCGCACTGACCATGATAAGTATTTCTTTTGTTTACTTTTTGTTTTTTTTGTATAAGCTTGTTTTAGTCCATTTTATATTTATTCATCCATCCATCCATTCATTTATTCATTCATTCATTCATTCGTTCGTTCGTTCGTTCGTTCATTCACATTCATTCATTCAATCACGAACTTGTTCATTCATTCAGTCGCCAGTTCGTCTGTCGTTTCTGTGGCCGCCACTTCACCAAATCCTACAACCTGCTGATCCACGAACGAACGCACACCGACGAACGGCCCTACGTCTGTGAAGTCTGCCAGAAAAGGTTCAGAAGGCAGGATCATCTTCGCGATCACAGGTGAGTCTACTTTCTATTTATTGTAAAATCTCTGGTAGACTGTGGTCAGTTGTAAGCCGTTGTCTGTTCAATGTTGTGGCCAGTTTAGGTTGTGGTTTGTGTTAACTTTGGTCAGTTGTATGTTGTGGTCAATTGTAGGCTGTGGTTTGTTGCAGATTGTGATCAGTTAACTTTGTTAAGTTGTAAACTGCAGCTAACTAAAAATGTTTGTATATTTAACGCATGTATTTAATTATTTTTGAATCATAAAAATAAAAAGTTTTGCAGATTTGAGCATAATTAAAAATAGGTAAATTATTTTTTACGTTAAAAAAATAACACGAACATAAACATGTTTTAGGTTTGAAACAAGCCAATAAATTACATATTAAAATGAATGTTTGTAAATTACTAATCAATCAATCAATCAATCAATCAATCAATCAATTTCACATTTTCTATATGATTTTAAGAGAAGGATCTCGTTGTTTTTCGCTATTTTATGTTAATTTGTTTACCACACCAGCACAAAATACACAAAATCTGACCTTAAACCAAAGCAAATATTTTGTGAGAATTTTAACTCAACATGTGAATGTTACCGAGAAAGACTCACAGGATCTGTCCCGACTTTATGCCAAAGAAAGCAAGTAGATAGAACGAAGGGGAAAACAATGAAATCCAAAAATCCCATTTTGTTTTAAATTATTAATACACTCCTACATTTTACATTACATAACATCCCATCATGAAATCTCAGTAAATATATATATAGAGATAGATAGATAATTTCTTTTCAGCAATATGAAATTATCATTGTTATAGAGAAATTGTGATTGCGATATAAGTGTTTGCACCGTTCCAAACAACCGCCAACAGACACATCCACTCCAAGAACAAGCCGTTCACCTGCATGGACTGCGGCAAAGGATTCTGTCAGCCGAGAACACTCGTGGTACATCGCAACATGCATCTCATGAAGGTATTTGAACGGGCATTTTATTTGGGCGGCCTGATGGCCTAGTGGTTAAGGTCGCCTAGTGTTGTTTCGCAGAGACCGGGTTCGAATATGACAAAAGATCTCCGCGTATCACATGCTGCGTGTGTGATGCGTCGTTTAGAACGTATTCATAAGCGCTGTTTATGCGTTGATGATTTCTCTGAGCCTAAGAAGGGAGAAATAAACTTTAACCTTTTTAAGGTTACTCTTTCAGTCCATTCTTCAAAAAACACTGCGGTGAAAACGTTTGAGTATTTCCAAAAAAGGTTCTTCAACCAATGAGGTTTAAATTATTTGAGTTTAAATTAAATTAAACCACGTTAAATTAAATAACACCAACCCAAGTGGTTGGCATGTTTGGCATGCTAGTCAATCAACATTCAGACAGTTACACACGTGCAACAAACAGCATAAGCACATGCATGTATAAACCTGCACCATGTAGAAACACACTTAGATACAAACACATACAGAAACACACACACACACGCACGCACACACATCAGGCCCAAGGATATATGAAGACAGGCGGTGGACCATCAGGGACTTTATCAGCAGCAGCATCGAAGGGCAAGCCTCACCACAAGTCTCCGCTGTATGCCTGCACGCATTGCTGTGCCGCTTTCAGAAGACTCTCCGACCTACAAACGCATGAAATTGTGCATGCATGAGAATATTAGGGATGATATCATCGATGATATCAGGGATGATATCACTGATGATATCAATGGTAATATCACTGATGATATCAATAATGATGTCACTGATGATATCAATGATGATGTCACTGATGATGTCAGTGATGCTATTCGTTTTTATTGTTGATATCATAATATCCGATTATGCAGATGATGAAGTCAATAATTTATGTGATGATTGAACTGAGATATGTCGTTAATTTTATTTAGAGTTTTATAGGATAATTTTTGTTTCACCTTCTGATTATAAACTTTGTGTCATTGTAACACTGACTGGCCGACCTTTGTTAGCGTTATGTGATCACACGTACATTCCACTTTTCTTTTGACATCTTAATATTTAATATTTGATCATACTTTGTTGTGAAAATCATCACCATCATCATCGTCAACATCATTGCTATTGTTATTATTATTGTTGTTATTATTATTATTATATCACTTTCACAAGTCTACAATATAATTATTATGTTATATTATGATGAATTAATTGTAAGTATCAATTATAAATGATAATAAAAAAAATTAGTCCATTCGTTTTAAATTATCAATTAATTTTCTTAGTTATTCATTCATTTATCAATTCATTCATTCCATCAAACGCATTAACTCAAAACACCAAGTTAATGAATAACTAATGAATTTTTATTTATGATAAGAATGAATGAATGAATGAACGAACAAACGAACGAACGAACGAATGAATGAATGAATGAACGAACGAATGAATGAATGAATTAATGAATTAATGAATGAATGAATGAATGAATGAACGAATGAATGAATTAATTAATTAATTAATGAACGAATAAATGAATGAACGAACGAATGAATGAATGAACGACCGAATAAATGAATGAATGAACGAATGAATGAATAAATAAATAAGTAAATTCATATGCGAATGTGTATGTAAACGTACAGGAAGACCGGCTTGTGAAGATGAGCTGCAATGGTGTGCGTGCTTTTATGGCCACCATAAAACGATGCCGTGCGGCGAAACGCTGTTGTAATTGTTGCAATTTTGGTAGTAGTAGTAAAATAACAGCAGTACTAGTGACATCAATTGTGCTATTTTTCGTGTGACAGTAATGGAAAAACTGGCAGTATAACCGGTAAAACTCATCAACAATAAAAAAAATCAACAGTAGTGATAGTGCGTTCCATCAGTAGCTATAATAGTAGCCTCAGTAGCTGTAACAGTAGCCTCAGTGGCTGTAATAGTAGCTTCAGTAATTGTAATAGTAGCTTCAGTAGCTGTAATAAAAGTCTCAGTAGCTGTTATAGTAGCCTCAGTAGCTGTAATAGTAGCCTAAGTAGCTGTAACAGTAGCCTCAGTAGCTGTAATAGTAACCTCAGTAGCTGTAATAGTAGCTTCAGTAGCTGTAATAGCAGCTTCAGTAGCTGTAAAAGTAGTAGCAAGGTAGTATAGTACTACAAGTAAAACAATCAACAGTGCAACGTATGCAATTGGTGTGATGAAGTTGACATTATTTAAAACAACTTCTAATATGTAACAATTACAATATACTACAACTGTTTCTTATCAAAATGCAAGAACCACTGAAAATACTACAATAAATACTCTTAACAGTCACTAACAATACAACAGCTACCAGCAACAACTACCACAACCAGAACTTTTATTATGCCCAGAACGACATCTAGTTAACTAAAGAAATGTAATCTAACGTCATTAAACTCCCATCGCAACAACTAAATGTGCCTCCTCCTTTGATAACATACTGTCCTGTATTTGCATGCGTGTGTGTGTGTGTGCGTGTGTGTGTGTGCGTGTGTGTGTGCGTGTGTGTGTCTCGTTGTCTTTGTGTCTTCCTCTTTTTTTATCTGTGTGTGTTTGTTTATTGTTTATTTGAGTGTCTGTATGTGACGGTGTTTGCTTGACTTTCTGAGTATATTTAAACCTGTATGTGTTAGTGTGTGCGCGTGTGTAATTTTGTATTGGCCTATTTGTGTATGTTTGTGAGTCTCTTTCTCGTCTTATATGTTCGTGTAAGTTTAGTTATTACCATTTAATGAGTTTGACGGTATAATGAATGACCGTGGTTACACACACACACACACACACACACACAAACACACACACAAACACACACATAGACACATACACACAGGCTCCCGACTGTACAAAATGTAAATCTAGGCAGACACACGTACAGAACACACAACATGCACAATTGCACACGTACATAATTAAACAACATTTTGGTGATATATGCATTTGCACGCACACAAACACGCACCTACATACCCACCGATATCATCAGCTACAGGATTAGAGTTTCGGTGATTAGACGAACAATTAATGGCTGGATAGGGAATCGGTATTCGCAAATATCCGATGTAGTCAGTATGAGGATGTTTGCGATACCGAGATATTTGCCAGCCAGTCGTAGTTATTTTATATCTGATTTCTTTACATTTTTTCTAACGTTGTCGTTCATCTAAACAAATGAACTGATGCCTATTCAAGGCTCGCTTGGATTTGTGGTGCAATTACTCACAGAGCGGAAGTGAAGTGGTTTTTGCGGAAGAAAGAGTAAAAGCCATCGTCATCTTGTAACCAAAGCTCAGAATGTTAAATCGACTAAACTTCTTGAATTGAAACAGGTAAGAAGTGACACTACAGTAGAAGTCAATCATTCTTTAAAAATAAAACATTTTCAACTTTTATGGCTAAATGTTTTAAAAACAGGAAATAGTGATGACACCTTTGAAACCGAAATGAAATTTCAAAATATTTACTTTGTGAAAGACATGACTGATTATATGAATCTTTTAGATTAGGTAATCTCAGATACTTACAACGGACAACATGGCATCAAATTTGTTTTACTGTTCTAATTTTTATTCCTCGAGTTAAGATGAGTTTAAAATTTTATGAATCGTTCATTTGTCTGTCATTGTGAACGTAATAGTAGTAGTAATAATAAATATTATTGTTGTTGTTATTAAAATAAATATTACTAATTCTCTCTTTATTTTCATAGGTATAACAAAAAATACAGCGAATGTGAATCCAAGCGTTCAAAACACATTCTAATACTTCAGGACTAAATAATCCTTTTAAAGTTTTGACGAAGGTGGAAATAAATTTATTTTTAAAAATCTTATTGAAAAAAACGAACATGTATAAAAAAACTAAAATCACTGAAAAACCAGGGCATTTTTTATAAAACGATTTTCATTGTTTGTGCGCAGGCATCTGGATGTCGAGCATTGGTTTGGTGTTTGCCCAACACCCCCAGCGTACCGAGAGGGCGGGGGTGGATTGCCACGGCCTCCGATTAAAAAGGGTCCTCCGAAAAACCGCCATACACAAATTTTAAATTAATTAATTCATTAATAAGTGTGCTTTCATTTTTGGTATTGATATGTTTACCTATAGATAAATACTTAGTAATATAATAGTTAGTTCAAAAAATGTTGCTATTGAAATCCGACTGAATGAACTTTTTTCTATATCGGGAGAGATTGTAAAGCAGAAAATTATTGAAGATGTAAAAAAAGCAAATTATTATGGGATAATTTTTGATTCAACACATGATACATCTCACAAAAAACAAATTAAGCTAGATTATCAAATATGTCCATATCAAGAACAAAAATGTAGAGGCCAGAGAAACGTTTTAGAAATTTATTCCCTTGCCGAAAAGAAGGCTAATGATGTCGCACAACAGATCAAAATTGAATTTCAATATTGAGCACGAAAGTGAAAGTTCATTGCCATTCCTGGATGTCTTGGTAACGCACGAAAAAAAAGATTTACAACTGGCGTATACGCCAAAGCAACAAACAAATGTATTTGTTTAATGGGTTTGTGAATGTACGGAAAAATTCAAAATAAGTACAATGAAATCCTTTGTGAACCGTGCATCACGCATCTATCCTCAACCGAAGATGGCAATACAGAGCTGAAAAGAATTACTAATCTACTAGTAAGCAATGGTTACAAAATTGCAAAACATCATCCATTGAAAGTACCATTCAACAAAGACCACACCAAGATAGCAATATATTCAAAAACAACAATGACAACGACATAATCCTATATTACAGAAATCATATGCCAACGGCACATAAAATAGACGAAGTCGTCCTCAAACAAATCATTAAAAAAATGTTACACCAACCAATGATACTAATAAAATAAAACTCAGGATATACTAAAATGATTGTATGACAACTGCACTATTAAAGAAGATTCAACTTTGAAGCGTAATCATGTAATATATAAATTTAAATGCAATATTGACGACTGTGCGCGTCAACAATATTGATGTTACGACCACTTCACTATCAATACGTCTCACAATGCATACAGAAAGAGGAGCCACCAAATCTAACTTGCAATCAACACATGCAACTCCAATAACCTGCCAAATTCTTGAAAACAACACAAAATTAATTTATCAAAACACCAACACACTACATCTAAAAATTGCAGAAGCTTTCCTAATAGATATCAATAAACCCCAAATAAACATCCAACAAAGAATGATAACATCTGTAATGGAAATTGTTCCATTACATGATCACGTGGATTAAGTACTAGCACAAAGCACGTGTGCTTACCTAGGAGAGAGCGCCGTATGGTCACGTGGGTCGATTACTAGACCAAAGTACAAGCGCTTACCTAGGAGAGAGCACCGTGCATGTCTATAAATAGCCTACGCAAATAAGTTAAGCCTCTTTCTTTTCTGTGGCTCTTGGGCGGGGTTGACGTTAGTAAAATTGAGTATTGTATCGTTGCATTTTCATTAATTTGATTTATTCAAATAATTATTTAGTTAGGTTTTAATAAAGGAGGATTAATAATATATCTGTCGTTGTGTTTAGTTAATATCGAACCCGTTACAAACATCATTACCAACTCGACGCCTTAATACTAACTTCAGTAACAATGAAGAAAAAAGGAATGACAACAACAATGATGAAAAATACAACATCAACTAAGTAACTCACTTTGCTAAAAAATTAACTTTGCTTTGTTTAAAGAAACTATATAAACCAAACCTGCACTGAAGATGATTTGTAAAAAATCGAAATCGAAAAATGAATTTGGATAAAAACAGTTTGATTAAATTTTTATGGTGAACTTGAATAACAATTCTAGTTTCAATAAATTGAGCAATTTCTAAAAAAGCATAAGTGGGGGCCAATCTATTCATATACATGCTGGAGAAATAATAGTTCATTGATTTCACAAACTCTCAAGTTCGTTCATCTATTATTATTATTATTTCAATACTTAATTATTTCATTCAATTATTTATTCATTCAATAATTCCAGGATCAAAAATTTTGAAAAACAATTTCAAAATCCTAAAAAAAATAAATAATGTATAAATGTAAAATTATAAAAAATGAAATGCAAATAAGCACATAAGACACATATAATAAATCAAATATAACACTAGTCAGAACATAAATTGTGCTGTTTTTATTACAAATCTTTGAAGAGGTGAAAATATATGTCCATACTTGCAAGAAAATTTTCAACGAAAGATTATAACGAGTTATATAATTTAAAAAATTATGGTGCACTAAAATAAGAGGCTATCACAAGCAACTGTCAACACCGTAAAATTCTTTTATTATAATTCGTTATCATCCCCACACTATCATTATCACCATCATCGCCACAATACCATCATCATCATTTTCACAATATTATCATCATCATCGTTAAATTAAAGTCATCACCATCACAGTATTGTAACCGTCATCAACGTTACAGTATCACTCCCCATCATCCTAATTCATATCATCAACATCATCGTCATATCATCATCACACATCATCCCTCCTTGCTGCTGGACATCTCAACAGATGATTTGCCGGGCAAGAATGGGAGCAGAATTAAGAAGATGAGGATGGAGATCACGTGCACAGAGAAATATGCTTCACTGTGTGGTCACAAACAACATGTTTATTTAAACTGCATGGTAACAAAGATGAAATATTCATCATTCATCCAGCCATGCAGAGTTCTATAATGAATGACACGTTGTTAACTTTATCAAAATGAAAGAGACAATTCTGAGCCCTGATGATGTAGCATAAGTTGGGGGCCAATCTATTCATATACATGCTAGAGAAATAATAGTTCATTGAACTCACAAACTCTCAAGTTCGTTCATCTATTATTATTATTACTATTATTTCAAACCTTAATTATTTCATTCAATCATTTATTCATTCAATAATTAAATCATCATTTCGTATCAATTCAACATAATAGAACAATAGGTCTGACTGAGATGAACGACGCCACAAAAATGATCTAAACATAAGCAGGGAACAAACTGAAGGAAGAGGAGAGTTTTTGAGAACTCGAGAAGCAAGAAGGGCACGGCGAGGTAGGTGAGTGCTAGCTTGGTACTGCAGAACGTCAACAGGTCGTACACCTTCGAGAGAACTGCCGATGACTGGAACTTTGGACGGATTATTGGGCGCACCTGTTTGGATGGTGATGACGAAGATGGAGATTATTACGATGATGGCGAAAATAATGCAAATAATGAAAGCGATGGTGTTGAATCAATTGATTTCAGATTGGTGCGGCAATATAGCAACAAAATGACCGTTTAATAAACATTTTATAAAGGTTTCTTAATTGTCACGTTACTCAGACAAAAATGAGTTTGTCTTTTTTTCCACCATACAAATCTTTTATGATTGAATTCTTTTATAAACCGATCAGCACATTAAATTATCTATCACTCATCAAACCTTTCATCCATCTAATTACATATCCACTTATCCATTCATCCATCAAATTATCCACAACCTACCATTCTGGATTCGTAGACCAGGAAAGCACCTGTCATGAATGTAACGTAGTAGCCCGGGTAGAAGCCATGCCATAATGCACTCATCTGAATGTGTATGTATGCATATATGTGTGTATGAATTTTTGTTCATATATGCAATTATATATATTTGTTTGAATTTATGTATGTATGTATGTATCAATCAATAGGAAACTTATATAGCGCCAATTAAATGTTCTCAAAGGCGCAATCGTAGTTATATAAACATAGAAGACTACAATACTATTAATAAGAGATAGATTGGTTTCATATTTAGATGCTAATAAACCTGCTAGTATTGTTTCCGCCGGAAATATTCAACTGAACTTGAACTCGAAGTATAGGAAAGGCAACCAAAAATAATCTCTTTGGATGTCTCTTAAGCGTTTGATTGCAAAGATCACAACATACTCATAGCAGGTATGCAATTAAAATGATTTCCAAGCTATCAAGCAGATATAGTTTCAATTTGTTACTTGAAGAAAACTAGATCCTCATCCCTAAGCAATAAGCATCTGAGTTTCACCAGATCATGGCTTGGACCTCTATAATTCATCAGAATTAATCATTATAAACATGCCTACGGTAGATAATATTCCCAATTACAAACTGAGTTATTAAATCAAGCTGGCTGTTTAACTGATAAACCGTCTAACTCGATTTCACCATTTAAGTCATTAAAACAGGCTTTTTATAAAATTTACCATGTTCATCTAGAATACGTACTCGTTTTTGTTCGGATTTTGTTACTCAATATCTTTGTAGTTAGAAATCAATTATTTATTACATTTGACGATTTCAGTTAATGGTGACTTCCCCGCAGGAAAGTTTTTTCTTTTTTGGTTGTTCAACTGAAGTTAATAAAACAAGATGAAATAAAATAAAGCATGCTATCATAATTTACTTCTCTTTACATTTCTCCTGTTTTATACGCTCCTTGTCATCATCAACGTCACCAACATCATCATCGTCACCACAACAAATGTCAATATTATGTTAGAGACCACGTCATCCATAGATGTCAACGCCATCACAAACTCACGGCGAAGACAGCCAACGTGTTGTGCGTCCTTTCATAGACCACATGCCTCAACCACAGCGTCGATCGCGAGTTCCAGTTGCTCAGTAACGTTCGAATGCTAGTTGCAAACTGGGTGATTGATTGATTGATTTTTTTGGTGAATGGCTGGTTGATTGGTTTGAATGGTTGGCCAGTCTGTATAATTGGTTGGCATAATAATTTTTTATACATTTGATGGTTGTGAGTTAAAAACTGTTAGGTCAAAAGTCATCTTGTTGCATTTATATTTATTCAATTATTAGCCCAGGTTAGTATTCCATCCGTCCATCCATCCATTTATTAATCCCCCATCTAGCAAACCTCAACTTTGAAGACACTGACATTATCCATGAAATCCCACCTCTGACGCCCAAACTGGTCGACACCACCGAATCCCAACCCGGCAGCCACGTTGATTGCCTCAGCTGGAAGGTTCCATCATGTTCCATTGATGTCATGCAGGGAAACATCACTCAACCATCACAATTCTCACCATCATTATCATTATTATAATTACTGCCCTCATCATTATCACCAGCGCCATAACCATGGTCACCATCCCGATAATCATTTTCATCATAGACGAATACATCATCGTTATTAATTAGCACTACTAACCAAGTTTCCAGGCGACATAATATTTAAACCTGGCGGCAGAAGTTGAGATGACGCAGTAGATGATGCGGTAGGGGAGTGAGTGCGATGAATTGAAGGTCTCATCTGTGTGGTCAGATGGTGGTGTATGTGTATTTGACACATGTGAGATTGTTGGTGATTCGTTTGCTAGTTGATTGATTGGTTAGTTGATTGGTTGGTTGGTAAATTAGTTGGTTGGTTGATTGTTTGGTTTGGATTGTTTGGTTTGGATTGATTGTTTGTTTTATCATATAAATGATTCACTGATCATGTGATAATTTAATGATTCATTGGATTGATTAGCTTATCAGCAAAATTAAAATTTATTCATTGTTCTATTCATTAGTTAATTGATAAGTGGTGGATAATATCAGACACTCAACTGTTTTTGTTTCTCTGCAAATGCACCAGAATGGCTTAGTTAAATAGTAGAAAAGCAACAATAATATAAATTTTAAAAAATTTAATAAAAAATAACTGATAAAATAAGAATGCATGGATGCAAAAAGACCAAAATACCGACCAATTAGAGTTTGAGCAGGAAACATGGGAGTGCATACTGCCATCAGCACCAAGAACACAGCAACAGACGACAACTTCTCCAACAGAACCATCTACACAACACAATATAACGTAACGTAACATCTACCTTCGAAACAGCTCAGCTCTTTATATACTAATTTATAAAATCTTCTAAATTCCCTACTAACAATTAATTGGTTAATAAAATGATGGATTACCATCGATGACTTTGAAGTAATTTGAAAAATAAAACTCATGAACTATTGTAGAGACAGGAAACAAAGCGTTAAGAGGCTGGTGCTTATTTAGATAATAAAAATAATTGGCGACAGTTAATTGGTGACTTACATTTGGTTTCAGATGAATACACATCACGTCGCCAGCTTCATTCTAATGTTACAACAATATTCAGTTGCTATTGCATACAATCAATGATAAACATACACGGAAATATAAAATATATTTAATTATATTTATGTCCATCAAATTAACTTAAAAGCCAGAACAATCTCCAGACAGAAAGTAACAAACCAATTTCTAATCTAATTTTCATTTAAAAAGCTGTCGAACAGGAGAATACGGCACTTATTATATGGTTTAAATAAAATAACATAAATTAAAAACCATTACATCACTAATGCTTTAGGGCTATAAACATTTCTAAACCAACTTCCTAAATCATATCACTGATTAGTTTGATTAAGAGAACTAAATTATCCATTTATAAGTTATTTATTTGCCAGTTAAAAGTCATAAAAGTAGAACTTGGTAAGTGATATTGTTCCCATGAATGAAGTTAATATACTCCTTGTAGAAAGAGAATGGACCGCAGATAATCATGTGGAAACTCAGTGAGTAGCTCAGCAGCTCAAGAATAGATGGAAGCTCGCTGTTGTTTGTGTTGGTTTGTTTGTACGAATGTATGTGTTTATACACACTTGTGTGTGTCATCTGTTTTAATGTCAGAATGCTTTTCGTGTGTTTGTGTATTCAATTATTTGTATGTATGATGTGATGGTACGTGTGATTGTGTCTACACGCAAGATATTTTTAATTTTGAGTGAAGGCTTTAAAATGCACAATAAGAATATGTTAACAAGTGTTTAGAATATAAGCGGTCAAACAGATCCTGCTTCTCTATGGCTTAAAAACTAGAAAATTATTTTCATAATATGGAAAAATGTCTTCTATATAATGGTGATGATAATTGTGATTATTGAAATCATTTTTATTATCATCATCCCATTTTCTATCACTTCAAGCATCTTTGCAAACTAATTTTGAGTTTGGACATTAATTAGTTTTTAAAAAATCATGATTGAAAGGTGAATTAAGAAAAAAAAATCATTTCATAAAATAAATAAAAAATAAAAGTCCAACAAACGAAATAGTCTTATTGAAAATGTATGGAGTTGTCCTGATGTCAGGATCAGTCATCAATTCCTTTCCATCTGATAATGAGAACGCCAGACTGGTGATCCTCTGGGTGTTGATCATCAGTGGCCTGTCAGGGGGGTCCAGGAAGGTGCACGTTGGAGTGCACGTTGGATTAACCCAATGTTAATAATTACAAATCTAAAGATGCTACTTGAAGTCAATTCACAATTATAATAAATAATAATTATTTCTATAATATCAAATTTACAGTCGATGCCTGTCTGCGTGTAACCTACCTAGCCATTCCAGAGAAATATAAGAAAACAACATTATTTGTGAAGTTTCAGTGAGTACGTATTAATAATGACCATCAACGCCGAATCATCATAACCAACACCATCATCACCAACACTATCATCACCAACAACATCATCACCAACACTATCATCACCAACAACATCATCACCAACAACATCATCACAATGAAAGTCCAAGCAATACATATCCCAACAGACCCAGTTATGTCCAGGTTGTACCCAGAATAATCGTAGTACATTCGCAGAGAGTGGCAGACTGCCAGGAACAACATCGCAGTCAGGAAAACCAACTTTTCTGAGGTTCCATGTGGAACTCTCCACATGATCAGCCAGCAGATGACACTTTGGACCACAACAACTAATGACTGACTGACATTCATATTTCATTTTTGTTTGATAAGCTATCAATGTTTTAACTCAGTGAATAAGTTAGATAATAAAACAAATTGAAATATTTTCAAATCATTAAAAATATAAATGCTAATTTTTACATGCCAAAGCAGAAGAAGAGCAGAGAGAAGCCTAGAATGGCCTCAAATGAATGTCGAACATTCGCACCAACACGGCATGGTGAAAAGAGACATCGAAAAATGAATCCACATATTAAGGCAATTATTTGAGACAGAAAAAAATTGATCTGAAATAAAGCCATTAAAACGTTTTTTAGAATATTTAAAAATAAAAGTTAATAAAAATATATTTGTGCAATGTCTCAGTTCATATTTTTTGCAAACACATTATTTACTCAATTAACCTATGAAAAACGCATGGATATATATATATATTTATATCATATAACTTAACATACTTTTTATGCTTGAACTAATCACCATGAAACCCCTCCAATCTTTCATATAATCAGCGTAAAAAAGTTCCCATTAGGTTCCTTGACACTTTTTTATTTATATTGTTACTACAACTTTATTATAAGCAACACAATTTGACATTAAAGACTTTTAGCTTTCAACAAACTTTTGCTTATATTTTGAAATTTTAAATGACTTCACATTTCATCCGGTTAGATAGTCTGACTCAGTCTTCAACATTCTTAATTTTATTATTTTAAATTTTATCATTTTTTATTGTATTTGGAACATTTTACATGTAAATACATAACATGTATGTAAAAAACTAAATTATATCTGTTTTATGTTTATTTTTATATTAATAAGTTTTGGTCTCTATCAAACTGTAGTCTGACTTGCTCTGACAGATTGATTTTGATTACAAAATCATTACATTTACAAGATTACATTCACACTAATCAACTAAAAAACTATTATAGTCCAGCTAAAACTAAACAATAAAAGAACAAAAAATGAAACTAGACTACTAATTAATAATTGGATTAAAAAATTGGCTAATAATTAACTAAACAGTTAACTGAGTTAACATATTCAATATTCATTGGCTTAGCTGCCTTAGCACGACCCACCTGATCAAGCGGGAAGCCAACGACGTCAGACAGGGGCTGAAACAAGGTAGACCCAAACATTAAGTTGTCCATTCTGTCCTATTCTGTTGTCCTTTTTCTACTTAGTTTTCCGTACAATTGGCTTTTTCTTTTTGCCTTTTTATTTTTATTGGTTAGTACGGGTAGTAGTAAGTTTTCCTTTCTTACTGAGTAGTAATTTAATTAACGTTACTCGTGACCTTATTCGTTCAATTAGTTAGATGAACATCGTCACGAAGTCACGAATAGACGCCATCCGTATTTAATTCCTCGATCAAAATAACAAATATGTCATGTTTGTCTTTTCAAAAACTGGACGCGCTTTCAAAAACATCTGTGCATCTAATAGACCTTTCTCATAGATAGCAATTAATTCAATTGACTCAAACATAATTTTCACATGATGTATTAACTTATTTTATTAAATGAATTTATTATTACCATTATTGAGTTTAAAATTAATTTTAAAATTTTTCCCACTTGAAATTAAAACACATTCAACACACCTTCTCGTCGTTATGGCAACGTAAATAAAGTATAAACAAAATGGTCCTTCCCGGTATGCACGTTTTCATTGTTTCGTGATTGCTTATTTATAACAAAATATTTATCATTTAACAACATATTTTTACACATTACTGTCTTTTTTTTAATTTTGTCCATTATTATTATATAAATTTGACAATATGACAAAAGCTAAAAAAAACATTCAGATAAATTTAAAATATTATTAAAAAATATGTAAAAACAAAAACTAAAAAAAGACTGAAAATTGGTACAAATTTGAAATTCATACTAAAAATTATACTTTATTTGTATTTTAACTTTCTATGAAGTTAATGAACTTGCTTCTTAAATTAAACTTAACATCGACTGAAAAGCATCTGCGCCATCCATGTGTATTTGTGTTGTATACGATCGATATTCATACAATTTAGTTAGGCTAATTGCTAATAGATTTAAGTCTTAAACAAACCTCTTAAATTTTAAGAGGTTTGTTTATGTAGTAAAATGTTCAACTTTATTATAAAAACGAGCAGCTTAGATTTAAGTCCCTATAATAAATTTGGGAAACAAAAGTTGTTTTATTTCTGATAAACAGATAAAGTGTATAAAATTGGAAGAATGAAATAGGGAAATTTTAGTCAGGGTATTCAGTCTATGAATTCATAAGGCAGTTGTTTTTTTTAATAAATATCATTCATAGAATTCATAGAATAATTTTTAAAATTTGCGCATTAATATACAAGTTTCAATCTAAATTATTTCCTAAATACTTAGGAGATATATTTATAATTAATTATACCTAAACGCCCCGTTTTATACTCGTCTTCTCGTTCTCACTTCTTCTTAACTCTTAATAAACACTTTATGCTAAATCTTCTTTTGCTTTTTCAAGCCCTTTTCTCTTGGAAGTTTGATATAGACTTTTCTCCTCCTCTAACTGCTTCTCAACTCAATCACTTAACAAAGTTCAGAGCGGATTTCAAGACCCATCTGTTTTTAAAATTTACCGAAAGTCGCTGTTGAACATCGCTGAAATAGCGCTTTATAAACTGATTGATTGATTGATTGATTAATTGGTTGGTCGGTTGGTCGGTCGATCGATCGATCGATCGATCGATCGATTGATTGATTGATTGATTGATTGATTGATTGATTGATTGATTGATTGATTGATTGATTGATTGATTGATTGATTGATTGATTGATTGATTGATTGATTGGTTGGTTGGTTGGTTGGTTGGTTTGTTGGTTGGTTAATTGGTCGATTGATTGGTTGATTGATTGACTGGTCAACATGTTAAATGATTGATTCGAGTTGAATTAAATTGTTTGTCATGAATGTGAATATTGAATTTAAAATTCGTCATTTTAGATGGAAACTATTTACCTACAACTGTAATGTTCCAAATGCTGTTGGCGTTTCACTCAATTTACTACATTTCTATGTTTTTGATGATGATATCACTGCTTATATATAAAGGTTGAGATCTGCTTCAGAAAATTTAAATTAAAGGAAAATTGCTCAGTTTTTTACATTTTTTAAAACATTTTTTTACATTTCAGAGATTGCGATGAATTATCCACTAAGATATTTCATACCCGAACTGCTTTCACTCTTTTTAGTTTTATTGCCATTTGAATATTTGAGAATTTTTTCATGTGAGTTTTGTTTCATTATATGAGTTTATTATTATAAAATTATAAAGTTATAAAATGGTTGTTAGTTCAGATTAATAATATTTCAATTTTTCAGATTGGTATGGGAATAAAGCAAAATCTTTCAAACTTTTCATGGTGGGGTTGTTAATTTCAATTTTGTCTTTACTAGGAGCAATGTACTTTCTGTTTTGGCAAACTTACGTGTTTGGTGCAGATTTAATTTTAAATTCTATACAAGCAATACTAGTGACTCTTGAGATATTGTTAAGTTTTATTAGATGTTAATTTAATTCGTATTTGAAGTTGTACATAGTTTATTAATTTTATGTATTTTTCTTTGATTAATAAAATTTGAAATATAAAAAAGAATATGTATATATATGTTTTAATTTTATGTAAATTAAATTTTAGTAGTCTAAAATAGTTCACATCTTCGTCTGCTGTCTTGCCAGTCATTGTTTCCAAGATGGAAAATAAAAAAATGCATTACAATTGAAATTGAACAACAAAGATGAAAGAAACAACACCAATTAAGTAACTCATTTTGCTAAAGAACCAACTTTGCTTTGTTTAAAGAAACTATATAAATCAAACCTACACGGATCATTTGTAAATAATCGAAATAAGGCCTCTATCTGCATGATGAATTTGGATAACAACAGTTTTATTAAATTTTCATGATGAACTTGAATAATAATTTTATTTTCAATAAATTGAATAATTTCCAGAAAATTCTAGCAAGGAAAATTGATTAATGTCAAGAATTCACAAAATGCTGTATAAAATATGGTCATTAATATTTTAATAATCTCGCGAAATAACAAATTCAAAATGCGATTCAGACTTTCGTTATAATTATGTCGTTATATTTTTTTATTATTCTTTAAAAATTCAGATCTGACAAACGCAGAAACTGTTACAGCACGCAAGGCAGTAGCACAAAATTAAGCCAATAAGTAAATAAATAAATAGAGAAAGAAAATTGTTCAAACTTGAACAATAAAATAAATATTAAATAATAATAAAAAAAGAAATAAATAAATAAAAGAAAATAAAACAAATTGACAATAAAATGAATAGACTAGATGATGACTTTGTGAGTTAGATCGATAAATAAAAACTACTTGTGTGAATGAAAAAGTTTTATTGTGTGTTAATATGTTTGAGGTGTCTTGTGATGAAAGTCTTTTCCTGATATGTAGATTGGGTGGCGACTTGATGGTTATGTTTGCGTTGACGAAGGTTGTGTGTTGTAGTTTTAATTGGTGGTATTAGAGGATGGATGACGTGGTCGTTGTTGTTTACATTATACATAGGTGTTCAATGTTTTTATTCTTGCTTTGAGTCATTGAAATTGAGTATTCGAGTTGTAAAAATTGATATTAAGGCGTTTGCGCCTTTATATTTTATTTTCTTAAATCCCTTGCGTCATTTTTTAGCAATGTTCATAAACCTGACCGAAGGTTGCCGTATCGCGCTATTTATAGCAAAAGTGTGACGTCATATTCAATTTTCTATCCGGTAAAATTTTCAATTTGATTAGGAAAAAATGTCTGAGCAAATCATCCATTACTAAGGTTCTATGCATGAGTATATATATATCAATTGCCCTATGTTACGTCACACTCATATATATATATAATATATATATATATATATATATATATATATATATTACAATATATATATAACAATATATATATATATATTTATATAGGGGAGAAGGTGGTAATATGGACCACTTTTTGTCTTGGGCCAAAAAAAAAATTTAGACAATAGTTATTGGACCCTTAGTCTACCAAACAACTAACAAATATGTATTTTATAATATTTTATGACTAATTTCGGTAAAGAATAAAACTTCTCCTTGATAAACATTTTTTTGTTAGCATACCTCGAAAAATGATTTTTGGAAGTTGGGGTGGTAAAATGAAACAAATGTAGAAATGAACAAAAAAATGTTTTATTTTCAGAACAATCTCTTTTATTCTTACATATAATTAAAGTTTTATACTTTTAAACATAACAAATTGTTCTTATCAATGAAATAAAAATGATAAGTAATAAAACACATTTTTATATGAGTTTTTACAAACACAAGTCACAGATGAAAATATCTTTTTGACATCCACTACTACATAACATATGAGCCCATTTTAGACATATCACACATTGCACCCAAAGTTCTCCAGATTTTGATGTTTTGAATGTCTCACCACAAAATTATCTTCTGGAACTTCCTGTCCAAAAAGATCTAATGCGTTGGAGCTCCCGGATGAGATAAGACTTCCGGTATCTTCTTCATCGCTTGAAGTTTCATCTTCAATCTCACTTTTTTCAGAGATTAGACATTGTTTACTTGTTCCTAGCTGATGCTGATCCACCTGCTTTTTATTGCTGATGGCTGCATTGTGATGTGGTCCCCTTTTTTCTTCGAAATTGGTTCAGCTGATTTTTTATCATTTGATGATTTCAAGGCAGCCTTATATGGAGAACCGGTTATAATAGTAGCTAATAAGGCTTTTCTACCTCTATCTGTCGTAACCCCCTTTTTAGCGGTCCCAATTTGTTTCTTGGCATGATACATAAAAAAATATAAAAGGTTGTATTATGGAACAGTCTGTTTCATATTACCACCAATCGCCATTTTAAAAACAAGTCCAATAATTACACTTTACAAAGTATGATTTTAAATAACTATTCAAGAAATATTAAAGTTTAACATATCTACTAAATGACAAAATAAATAATTATATATATTATTTACTCATGTAGATACAAAAAAAATTTAAATCTTACCTATCAAAATGTTTGAACAACTTCGGAAGCAATTTCGTGTAAAACAATTATAGATAGGTCATAACAAATCTTCATGGAAAAAATTGCGGTTTCAAATTACAACCCCGTTAAAAATTGCGGTTTCATATTACAACCCCGTTTCATAATACCACCTTCTCCCCTCTATATATATATATGTATTATATATATATATATATATATATATATATATATATATATATATATATATATCTATATATATATATATATATAT